TCGTCTAAACTGGTGGATGGTGGGAAATTGGCAGTCACTCCAACTAGCAGAAACGACAGAATTCCCAGCTGAAGTACATGTAGTTTCATATTAGCTCCAAGTCGCTATATTGTTGTTAGAGGCGAGCCAAAACCAAGAGAGCATAAAAACAAACCACATGCATATTTGACAGCAAAAAGCAAAAAGAAAAAGTATTTGCAATTCAGAATAATATGCATCAACTCCACAAGAAGCCGAATTTCCCAAAGTGAGACAACCTCTCTTTAAGGCTGTTTGGTGCTTGTGTCCCTATCATTTACCTTCAGGTAGTGATCATTTATGTTGCCCCAATTTAGATGGTCTATCGTTATCCCAAATTCCCAACAGACCTATGTTGTACAGACTTGAATTTCTAAAAAGAGATCATCTCTATATGCGTGTAAATCAGAGACAATGTCTGACTCTTGGGGCTGTGGCGCCAAGCAGCTCTCATCTCTCGGCATCCACATTCCCCTGGCCGATTCAGCTAAGCCTAACTTGGACTGAGTCTAAGACTATAAATATAAAATACAAGAATAGTCGGCTGCTGAGGTGGTAAAAACAGTGCTGATAGTAACATTATGAATGAAGTAGTAGTTCAAGAATATATCTATATCTATATTTTACATTATACAAAGTCCAGTGCAGGGCCAACCTTTTTTGATTCAAGGTGTTATGTGCCTTAGACGCCCAATACTAAGTAATTAAGAACACGACCGCGCCACGACAAGCAATAATAACACCCAAGACCCGAATCAAGAACAAGAAAGTAAACTAGGAGAGAGGAGAGAAAAAAAAAAGGCATCAATAATGTGAAATCGTGGGCCCATGAAAAAAGTAGGGTATCCATACGCGTTAAACAGAGATAGTGAGAATCCAGATATGCACCATTCGCAAGATAGGCGCCTCGCCATGATCCGATTCATGAAAATGCAAGGCAGAAAGGCAGAGAGTAAAAGAAATAGAGTGCGCCGAATCAATCCACTTTGGCTTGAGCAAGACTCTTCGGGGTAATTAGATTATTGGACAGGCGCACATTTGTAGTGCCCTTGAGTTTGTCTTTCCACGTATGCCTCTTCAGCTTCCGGCGTGCAACCATGACCGGCACAGAGGAACTAGAAAGGAGATAATTTGAGAACGAACCGAGAAGGACACTAAAGGTGAGGTTAGTATTGGCCAGCAGCATGATACTGAGCTAGAAAGTCAAATCACTCACCCCTTCAGTGCACTCTGACCCCGCGCACCGACAATAACAAGTGTAGGTTCAAGTTCATCAATCTGAGAGTCATTGTGAGTAGGGATCAGAGATAATAAGAAGGTTGAGGGTGGAGAGAGTACTTACAGCTTCGGTGATCATGGACTTTGGGTTTTTACAGTGGATCACTTCCACGGCAATACGGACCTGCAAGACCGTTTTCCGCAGCAGCTTCACACAGGTCTGAGACACAGTCTCAACTGCCCTCACCCGTTCAGCCTCAGCGATCGACGAGGCCCGGGAATCAGCGGAATGTGTCTTGCTAGCAGTACCAGGGCCAAGTCGACCTAGGATCGTACGGGATGCATAATTCTGGTTGGCTTCTTTCGTCTGGGTGCCAACGACAGCCGTTGCATCTTTCATCACTTTGGCTCCCTCGCCGACCTGCACCGCTGACGCAGTAGTGGAGTCCTCATGCATGGCGTAGATGGCGAAAATCGTGTCTCCATCTCTTAGAACGGTCCCGATAGTCCACTCAAGGGCATAGACTGACTCTTCACTCAAGTCGGTTGCGATTAAATACTTCCGACGGCGACGACGGGTCCCATCGCCTTGATCCTGCGGACTTGAAAAGTTCCCGCGGACAATCGTTCGGATGGATCGGTTGTGAACACCGTTATCGATAGCTGACATGGAAATGCTGAGCTTCTGGGCACGATGAATGTCACCGATTTCAGCTTCATCCTCTGAGCCGTAAGGTGTGCCAGCCACTGACTGAACACGCGGGGTGGGGATATCGAAACTGGTCTGTGGATGGACCACGGCTTTCAAAGCAGATTTCCGCGGTTTCTTCTCCTGCCGTCCACTTGGGGGCTCAGGGGCTTTTTCTATACAATTTGAGATTAGTATATTGGATTTCCTATGTAATAGAAGCCCCCGGGCAAAACAACATACGTTCTTCGGGTTGCTTGGAATCATCATCCTTGGATTTTTCAAAGTCGCTTGGCGTTATAGATGTGATATCTGAGTCCTTCTTTTTCTTGCGGCCTCGTACACCTTCCAGGGTGCTGTCTTCGTCGCTCGAAGTATCGTTGGCTTCATCTTCACTGCTTTCAATCATGTTCTTGTCACTATCGAAAACATCCTTGGCGATTCTCTCCCCTCCCTCCTCCACCGCTGTCGGTTTGATATAATCAGGCAGGCTTCCATGGGGCTTAGTCAATACCTCATCTGACCTGTTGAATGTATCGTTCATGTTGAGCGATTTCCCCTTCCCTGGATTACTAGGGGCGGGGGTTAAGGTTTCAACGTGAACAGAATGACTACCAGAGGAACTAGGACGACCCCGCTCCGGTGAAGAAGTAGCATGAGAGTCGAGAGACGATCCACGCTGGGAAGATCCCCGTGATGAGTCTCTGTCTCTGCCACGGGCAAAGCTTCTCGGAAAGAGACGGCCAGACATAATGGCTGCCACACCCTTGCGGCTCTGGGACCTATCTCGCGCTTGCAAAAATCGCTTTTTGACGTGTGGCTGCTCTAGAGAAGTTGAAGCGATATCGGATTTTGCATCATCAATATCAAGGCCCGTAGTTGAGCGGACAGTGTCAACCACATGATCGGATGATCTACGAGGAAGAGCCTCGCGACTGGCGGTGGGCCTCTCCGGGGAATTTGGAGCGGATGCCATATCCGATGAACTGATGCGCAAAGGTGAAGATACGAGTGGCTCGACTGGACTGCGGGTTCCGCCTCTAGGCGAATAAGTTGTCCCGCCCGCACTCTTAGACTGCGGGGCAATCAGCAAGTTCTGCAAGGTCCGGCTTAGACCTATTGGTTTCTCGTTTATTTGGGTCGTTGATATTGTTGATCGACCATCCAAGCTTTTTTGTTCAGGAGAAGTTCGACCAGTGTGGTATGACATGGTGGCACCGTCTCCGGGCTGTGGGGAACTCAGCTCAACTCCGCCAAGCACCGAGGAATGTGGAGCAGATTGCCCTATGACGGTGCTGGCAAGGGGTTTGGGAAGAAAGAAGGAAAATAGGTCTGATAACTCTGATAGGTCTGGCAATTCAGAAATATCACAAACCGAGCCGACAGATGGGTTATTGATATTCGGGCAATCGGATTCTGCACCATCTGTTGTTAAAAGAGAAAGAACACAAAAAGAAGACAAAGAAGACAAAAAGGAGAAGAGGATCACAAGGAATCATCAAAAAAGAAGAATTGGGAAAAAGGAGCCTAAGGTTAGGCTTCTTACTGCAGCCACTTGTGGCTGCACCCCTAGATATTCTTCTACACACCAGTCTATTAGGGCACAAAAGGAGAGAGGACCAAAAGGTATCGTCGTATGCAATTACAAAACTCCTATTAAACCACCACATAATAAAAAAACACTTAGACATGACACATGAATGTTACAGGAAACAAAGACCTTAATTCAAGCCTTAGCCCTCTTCGACTTAGGCTTTGTCCCCTTCCGAGCCCCAACAGCAGCAAATGCTTCCTCGGAAGGCTCATCATCGACACCACGCTTCTTCCCAGGCTGCGCATACTTCTCCTCCAAACGAGCGAGGAAGCCCACACCACGATCCTGCTGACGCTTAGTGATAATAGCCAGAAGATCATCCTCATTCGCCGCAGCCTTTGAGCTCTTCACCGCAGCCCCAGCTTTCTTCTTCTTCTTATCCTCAATCTCCTTCCCCAACTTCTCCGCCTCACGCGCCTCCTTCTGCGCCTTCTTCACACGTTGTTGTTTCCTCTTCTCGGGCTCCTTGGAATATCGCTCGAAGTCCTCCACTTCCTCATCCGCAATGGCCTGATCGATGATACCTCGGAATCGTTCATCGTCATCTAGTACATTAGACAGCATCACGGTATCATAGATAGCATCCATATTGCCCTTGTGCGTCTCATACGCCGCGAGCAGGTCCTTTCTCTCCTCGTCTGAGTTTTGGTATTTCTTCTGGAAGTCGGAGATCGCCCGCGAGTCAAGCATCGTTGACAGCTGTTCGCGGTAGAAGTCCATCCAGTTGAAGTCGCCATCTTCGCCGAAGGCTTCGTCTGTGCTGCCGGTTCGGTCGTACACGTTTCGTCGGCGCTCGTCGGAGAGCACGCCGTATGCCAGTGCGATTCGTTGGAACTTTGCGTTGGCGTCTGCGCGGGCTTCTTCGCTCACCTTGTCTGCTCTGAGTTTAGTATCTTGGATGTTTTGGAATCTGGGTGTGTTTGCATACCGGGATGGTTTCTCAGGGCGCTCTTTTTGTATGCAGTTTTGATTGCTTCTGGGGTTGCATCGGATGCAACGCCTAGAATCTTATAGAGGTCTTCCTCGACAGACGGCATTTCTTCGTCTGATGCACTGTTTTCGGGTTTCTCATTTTTCGCCATTGTAGGCTTTGGGTGATGCGATATGCGGATTTGGGTTATTCGAGCAACAGGAGGAAGAACTGGATGCGATCTAGATATATTACACCGAATTGGGATTTAATAGATGAAAGACCAATAGAAGGGCGACTACATTGGCGTAAGTCGTAGAAACGGAACGCGATTTAGACGCGACGGGGCCATTTCGTCATTTTGCTGCTGTTCCCCGCCTTGCCCATCAGCCCACTTTCAAGCTACCCCCAAGCTCATCGACAGCGCCACTTCACTTTCCTCAAATCTCAAGAGCTACAGAGACCATCCAAATCCAATCCAAGCTCCAAATTCTACATCTAAAACACCAACCTTAACCAAACCCTCTCCTACATCGAACACTCAACCCAAATCGCAATTGACATCACTCACCATGACGACAAGGACCTCCCCTCACATACCCTACATAAGACAATGCCTCTCCCTAGCGGAACAATCACCCCCGAGACCGACCAACTTCCGAGTCGGGGCAGTCCTACTATCCCGAAAAGACAACGACCCCACCTTCACAGACGACCGGATCCTCTCAACGGGCTACACAATGGAGCTCGCGGGCAACACACACGCAGAGCAATGCTGCTTCTCTAACTACGCCGCAGTGCACAACGTCCCCGATGACCAAGTCGGTGAAGTCCTCCCCATCGAGCCCGGCCGCAAGCTCATTATGTACGTTACGATGGAGCCGTGCGGGAAGCGGCTTTCTGGGAATGCGCCGTGTGTGCAGCGCATTACGCAAACGACGGAGGGCGGGCGAGAGGGGATCCATAAGGTTTATTTTGGGGTTAAAGAGCCTGGCACGTTTGTTGGAGAGTCGGAGGGGTGTCGGATATTGACTGAGGCGGGCATTGAGTGGGAGCATGTTGGTGGGTTGGAGAGGGAGATTTTGACAGTTGCTTTTGCGGGACATGAGAATTCGGCGGAGGAAGTTAGGGCTGCACTGGGGGAGAAAGAGACTAATGTTGATGATATTAGTGCTGAGGAGAGGAAGAGGCAAGAGGCGATGCCGAGGAATCCGCTGAAGAGGATGATGGAGGGAGATAAGCATCTATATCTATAGAGACTGTGGAGTATTAGTATTAAAGGTGGTGCGAAATTCAGCGATTATGTGGTCTAGTCCCATCATGGAGCTGGTTAAGGTCATCTTGAGACAATGATGTAGAATGTCAAGAGGTATAAGTAAATCAATCGGGGTATCACCGAGGTCACCGAGATACTTTAGAGCTCATATCATGGGGACACAGAAAATATTTCCCTTGGGCATTGAGCGAACACCCTATTTATATACAACCACGTGACATCAACCCAACTGTCAACGGTTCCAGCTTCCAGTCCACGATGCAATTCTAGTATCTCCTTTTTGATATCTCCAAAAACAAGAAAATCCCGAGAAGAAAAAAAAAATGAACCAATGGCAACGATCAACAATGAGAACCTCGTATTCTATCCCGCGTTCTGCTTCAAGGCGTCACCAACGCACTTTACCTGGGTGAAAATGGGTGCAGCTGATGTGCATCGTCTCCGAAAATCGAATGACTTTGTGGGTATGTTATTTCTTTTTCCAAGCCTGCTGTCATTTCTTTGTGTGTCTCTGGAGATCGACGCGCCTAGCACACCATGGTGCATATCTCCCGGTCCTCTAGCGTGGAGGCTCGAAAAGAGGCGTTAGCGTGAAGAAGTCCATTTGATATATCCCACCAGACTGTCCATACTTTTTCCCCCATTATACATGAACATTATATCCTCGTCCCAATGTCCTCTGTCATACTTTTCAACATATCCAAACATTCTGTCTTGCTATTACCCAATATGTCCCACCCATCCAACCAAAACACAGCCAAGCCTATCTATACATAAAAAAAAACTCACATAACTAACAAAAGCCCCAGGCCAAAACATATTCTTCTACAACAACCACCCAATCCAATTTGTCAGCCTAGTAGGCGTCATAGTGGCGCGAACTGATATCCCACGACGCACAATCCTAACACTAGACGACAGCAGCGGCGCCACAATCGACATAGCCGTACTAAAGAAGACCTCACCAAAACCAACCAGTACTAGCCAAACAATCTCGAGCACAAGCCAAGAAAAACCACCATGGTCTTCATTCTCCCTCACAGCACCAACAGCCACCAATCTCACCCAAGAAACACACGTAACCTCCAAAGACCACGACGAGATAGATATCTCAGCTCTGCAACCAGGAACGGTAGTCCGAGTAAAAGGGACATTGTCCACCTTCCGCTCGCAGATGCAGTTACATCTCGAGCGGTTCTGGCTCGTGCGCGATACAAACGCCGAAATGCAGTTCCTGGATACCCGTCTGCGGTTCCTTATTGAGATCTTGTCTGTGCCGTGGGTGTTGACTGACGAGGAGATCGAGACATTGCGTGGTGATGCTGAGAGATGTGATGAGCGCGCGTTGGAGGATAAGAGGCGCGCAGAGAGGATTGCTAGGAAGAAGATTGAGCGTGAGGAGAGACATGCTAAGGCTATTGCGCGACGGTATGAGAAGGAGGAGAATGAGAGGGAGAGGGAACTTAGGAAGGTTAGAGAAGATGGGGAGAGGGTTATGAGGAAGTTTGGGTTTGGGGGTAAGAGTGAGATGGATTCAACTTGAGTATGCGCTATACTTTTTTTTTTTTTTTTTTTCATTCCTGATATCATTATTGATGGAATTATTATATCTCACATGTATTCGGAACAGATCAAAACGTTAATCATGAAATATGAGATATATCGTCAGTCATGCAGAACCCCGGAAAGAAGGGGTATTTTTGTATCCATGCAACACCGAGCTTGAAAAGATTCAAAATCAAGACCAAAGTTGAGATCGAGAGCCAGAAGAACAGAAAAATGACCTTGGGAATATAATCACCAAAGAAGAAACCAAAGACACCAGACACTAAAACCATAAAACAACCCATCTCAACGGTAATACTTGTCATACTTATCATACCAAGACCCAGATCCTCCACCCTGCCCACTTCCCCGGTAATAATCCTCAGCACTACCCCGACCACCATGATGATAGCTGCGCGTATCATCCTCAGGCAGATTCGTAGTAGGCGACTCGCTATACGACAAATCATGAGCCGACAGCCCCGCATATCTAGCCGCATGATCACGACCATGCAAATCACCCTCCGAATGCCTATAGTCACCACCATTACCACCGCGGTGATTCACACTCGTTGACGAGCTGCGGGAGTCATGCGAATTCGAGAACCGCTTATCAGCAGAATGACCGGATCCCGAGCGTGAGTAGTGCGGGGAGTCGCGGTCATAGGAGTCAGACATACGGTGTGTTGGATTCCGTCCCGATGTCGGTGCCTTGTGGGTAGAGTCTGAAGGCCGGGCGGTAGAGAAGGAGCCCGTGTGACTGCGACTCTGGGCTTGTTCTTCGTAGACTTTGCCGACACCTGGATTGGCGCTGTAGGGCTTGCGTTCGCGCTCGATTGGCACCGAGGGGATGGGTTCATCTTCTTCGTCGTCTGTGACAGCCGAGGCGGGTCTTGGTTGTGGTTGTTGAGTCGGTTTTGGGATCGAGGCTGTGGGGCGAGGTCGGCCTCGCTCGTATGAGTGGGTTCGTTCTGTGGGTGATGCGGTTGTGGTGAATGACCGGGTTGATCGGGCGGCGGATTGGCTGCGTTCTTCAGGGGTGATGTATGGTAGATCGACGCCGCAGTGGACCATCATGCGGTCCTCGATGTCTTCTCTTATTGCGATATCTCCGATTTCTGGGAAGAGACGACGCGGGATTTCCTTTGGGAAACGCTCTTTCTTGTCGTCTGGGTTATTGATGGGCATGTTGAGGACTGCCTTTTGGAGCCGCTCGTATTCGCGTTCTGGGTTTGCTAGGATCATCAAGGTTGCCCAGGTCTCAAAGCCTTTGGGTGTTAGGCCTGGGATATCTGGCCGTTTTTCTACATCGTCTTGGATGAGATGATGTTCGACCTTGATTTCGCGGAAGAGTCGGGATATTGAAGATGTACGATCGTCGAAGATGTCTAAATATTTCGTCAGAATATGGTCTGTCAATGAACAGAGCAAACCACCAACCTTGCCATGGATAAGGGTCATTCGGATCATGAGTATCACGATAGAACTTTTGCAACTTGTGAGGGGGGATAACAATAGTGTTTCCCGGTGGATAGTCCTCAATCTAGTCAAGTTAGCCATCAAAATCCGTAGGATATAGAACACACAAAAGGCCCACATACCAGATGAACTGCAATCCCACGTAAGAATTGACCAAGCCTCTTCGTCGCCTTACCATCCTCAAACAACTTCCCCCAAATCCGCTCCAGAGTAGTCACCTCCATAAGAGTAGCGTCCCGATCCGGAGGTTTCGGACGTTCCGCCTTATGGTGGCTATGGTGGCTATGATGACTCCGATCACTACTCTGACTTGATATTGAGCCCCGTCTATTCGCAGGGGGATCCGGGGTAATCTTGGGGCTGAGATGACTATCACTAGTGTAATCGGGGGAGACGTATGGCTGGAAGTTCCCAGTATGGATATTGTCGGAGGTCGAATTGGGTGGTGGGATTGAGCTGCTTCGCTGCAGGGGTATGGCAGACGGGAACTCTGTGTGCGGCTGCAAGGAGCCATCTGTTTGCCATGGTGGTTGCTGTGATTGCGATCCGGGCGGGGGCGCACCAGATCCTTGTAGGTTGTCTAACCCGGTTGTCTTGAGCTGCTGGATCACTGTTGATGTGATCTGCGATAGAATTTCTGGGGAGAGGTAGCCTGTGGAGCCACTGCTATGAAATGCAGAGCTCACTGCATTGTCTATGTGCCCGGTGTTCATGTTTGGGGATGAGCGATGGGATTCCGGATAGTTGTAGGACTCTGGGGTTGGGTTGAAGGCTGGTGAACCAGTTTGCGGCACTTGTGGTTGTGGCATATTCAGATGGGCTGGTTCGTGGTAGGATGGATATGGGGGTGTAGGCGAGTACCCATGTTCGTTTGGATCTGGGTTCATTTTGCCCGTTTGATATGCATTCCTGGCGTAATTTCCATTGTAGGCCATGCGGGGGGTTCGGAGGTTCGGAGGTGGCTGGACTGCTCTCTTGCAAAAGAGAGTGTGTAATCCTGTGTAAATAGATAGATTGATTTGGGAGAGAAGTTCTAGAAAGAAGAAGTGTAGAGAGTAGAGAGGTTACAAATTACCACAAAATTATGGAGGGGCTGGTGGGGCGATGACATCGTCACTAAGAAAGACAGATTTAAGATTCATTCTCTTTGTACTCCCTCGATGTCACAACTTATGCAGTCGCCTTTTAATAGTCATATACTCCGTAAGCCCTTTGGTATATATTAAAGTCCCACAGATGTTCCTGTCATATTGCTTGACTGGGTCAGAGCCACAGGATCGGCAGATTAACGGAGCATGCATCTTCCATGCAAAGTGTGCAATTTATAGTTTCTCTCTCACATCTATCAGAGTTGTGAAGGACACTATAGGTTAATCAGTTTGCCACTGCCCTTATAGTCTTTCGAATTACCCGAAATAGCTGGAATGTGCCTGAATACCTGAAGTATTTGAAGTATTCGAATTATCTCAACTGTTTGAACTATGAAGTCTACAGATTTATTTATAGTAGGTGGGGTTCAACCGAACCATCGATGTCATAACCATGGAAATGGAGATTGGAGTTTTAAAAAAGGAAAAAGAAAAACATTCAAAGTAATGGAGTGATACCTGGTTCTTCATAAAACATAGCACTAGGATTTCAGAAAAGAAAACGAAAATAAAATAAAATAAAATAAAAATTAGTAGACAGGGTTATATCGGGAGTGGACTGACAAGTCCATCCCACCCTGTAAATAAAAGCACTGTCAATCAGAATATGAAAGAGGTTGCCTCTAATACATGAACCAGGCAGGGGTGGGACCACTGCAAACTTGCCTCTCCCCGAAGAAAGAGCAGAAAAAAAAAAAAAAAAAAAAAAGCGCGTCTGGATACATAGGAGACATCATGGGAGGGCCCAAGAGTCGAACCGTGTGTATGAAAAAGCGATTGAAAAACCAGGAATACTAGAAATAGAAGA